GGATCAGGAGCCGCAGGGGCGGTAACAGAAAGGCGGTTAAGGGTTTATGGCTTAGTAGCTGAGTAGGTAACCTTTAACCTTTTTGGGCTTATATCATCCTACCATAATTGAAAGGTTAGCCTTTTTTGGGCTAGGGTACTCAGCCCGTAAGATAGGGCTTATAGGGTTTAGAGGTGTGGGGTTTAGAGGTTAAGGGTTCTTGGGCCTGGCGCTAGACATGTCCTTCACCCGAAACAGTGAACCCTGGACCCTAAACCCCATCTAAACAACCTTGAAGGCCTTCTGAGTCTAAGGTCCCTCGTATACTCTCTCTCTCTCTCTCTATATATATATATATAGAGACAGATAGTATGTTTATATTTATATGACTACAAACCGCCAAAGGCTATTCTACTCTATTCTGTTGTAGTCTGTTAGGCCCTCATACCTTAGAGCCCATAAAATAAACAAAACCCTTATGGAACCCTTTACAAGCAGGAGCTGTAGTATGCATCCAGGCCGTCTGGAAGGGCCTGGCGTTTCCTGAGCTGCACACAGCTGCGGGGCACCTCATGGCGGAACTTGCCAAAGCTGGGCTCCTTCCCGACATCTTTGCGGCGATGATGGAGCAACTCGGTAAGGTAGATGTTTGAGCAATAAGCGATATTACCAACCGTAAATATAGTACATCTCATGGTGTAATTTCACGATTTTCTGACGATAATGTATACCAATAGCTGTTCTGGGCGTGTTCAGGGCATCAGAGTCCCAGGAACTGTTCTCATTTTGGTCCACCACTCCACTTCTAGATCCTTGCTGTTGATGATATAAATCCTACACTACCTTAAGGATCCTAAACTGTGGCTCTAAACTCTGGAATTTATTGCATATTCCTTATTATGGGTCATGCAGGATGAATATCATCAACCGTATCCCTGCTGGGTCTGGGGTTCTACCGGCCAAACCCAGGCATCCGCCGGTGGTGGGCCTGGGTGGAACGACGCTGCCTCAGGGTCGCGAGCCTTCGGATGTGCAGCCGCCCAGGGATCCCAGGTTTCAGTCGATGAGCATCCCGGGGTACAACATGATCCGCGACCTACCATGGCATATGCTCTGTTCCTGTTTTTTTGCACTTTTTGGGGCCCTAGGGTCTTCTATAGGTGAGGGGTTCTTTTGATGGAGAACCGCTATAAGCTGCTCTTCGTAGTGCCCATATCATAAGGTTTATGCCTCTGTTGCTACGGAAAGTAGAGGCCACATAGTAGATCCAGGAAGCCGGTGAACCGCTACGAAGAGCGCGCCTTGCGCATGTGGGGCGATGAAGAGATCGAGGAAAACTGGGCATTCCCTAAACCCTAAACCCCCTAAGCCCCTAAGCCCCTAAACCCCCTAAATCCCTAAACCCTAAACAGGAAAACTGGGACCCGGTGCGGTTGGGCCTATCCTACATCGACCTCACCCCGGCATGCGACCTCCCGCTGCAGGTCGCCAGGAACCCCCAGCCCTAAGCCCGAAGCATCGCTAAATCCGAAGGGCCTTATGCGCCCTAAACCCCGAAGCCTATAGACCATCCCAAACCCTAAGCCCGAAGATCCCTATCCTAAGAGCCCTAAAACCCTAAACCGCCCTCAACCTAATCATGATACCGCCTAAACCCGATATTAACAGAACCCTCTGTAGACCTCTTGCAGACCTTTTCAGGCTCCGTTAAGAGGAACCCTCCACTTCCTAAAAACCCTCAGGGGGGGATATTGTAAACCCTACAGAGCGCACGTTGTACCCTATAGATCCGTATAGAACCCTCAAATCCTAGGTAGTATCAGGGAGACCCCTAAAAGGGGACCCTTCTTAACCCTACTTGTGGCTCTCTTAAAAGGGACCTTATTCAGAGGGTCTATGTCCCCAAGGGTCCCCCTAATCCTAACCCCCATCAAAGGAATCAGAGGAACCCTAGGGCTGAAGGGGAGACGATCAAGCCAGTGCAAGCCTCGTTGCACAACCCTTAAGACAGGCCCCTTACAGAGGCCCTATAGACCCTAAACCCGAAATCCTGAACTTAACAACCCCTTAACCCTGAATCCTATAGACTTTACAAACCAGGCCCCCCTATACTAAACCCTGAACTTAAGTAAATCCTACACCCTGAATACGCCCTACTGTAAGCTCCTAAACCCTAAACCCTGAACTTAACAAATTCTAAACCCTGAATCCTAGACTTTAAACCAAGTCCTACTGTAAGCCCCTAAACCCCAGAAACCCTGGGAGGGGTTCCTTATTCAAATTATACAAAAAGGTACCCCAAAACCCTATTCTAATGATTAAGGGCCCCTAAAACCCTAGAGCGACCCCTAACAGGTCGCCATGTGCTTCCTGAGCGCAGCCTTGTGGCTCTGGAGAGCCTTGGAGCTCTTGGGCGACAACTGCGGAGGCGACGGCTGGCTGGACATCTACATTTTCGAGGATCTCCTACTCCTACAGCTTTAGGGTTTAGGGTTTAGAGGACATCTACATTTTCGAGGATCTCCTACGGTTTAGGGTTTAGGATTTATCGGGAATAATGGACAGTTTTAAGGGGATACGGGTTTAGGTTTTAGGGGTTTAGGGTTCCTTTAGAGGGTTCCTTTAAAGGGGTTTAGGGTTTTGGGTTCCTTGAAAGGGTTCTGTGAGGTGTTGTGGGTTTAGGGCTCCTTTACACGATTCCTATAATAGGGGTCGACTACGGTTCCTTGAAGGGTTCTTCGAGGATCCATACCCTAAGGTTGTATCTCGAGAATCTTATACACTTAAAGTATCTAGATCTTGAGGATCTTAGTTACACTTACATCACTTAAATCCCTAAACCGTAAGGTTTTCGGATATCCTTCCTTTGAGGCCGTAAGCGAAACGGTGTTATCCCTACTTTGGAAGCCCTTGACGTTTAGGGTCATGGTTTAGGGTTATATAATCTCATACCCAAAACGGGTAGATGGCTGTTGGGGTTTAGGCCCATACCCTCAAAGCCTAAGCCCTAACTGCCCTCCAAAGGACCCTGTAGAAAGGAGCCAAAACCCACAAACCCTAAACCCTAAACCCTAACCCTTCCCCCCCATTTTCTAGGGTTGAAGGGTTTACAGGTAAGCCCCCCTCAGGAGCCCTGTAAGCCTTTGCAGGATATTTGGTCTGCCCCGGAAGCTGCAAAGCGCCTGGCAATGCAGTAGCTGTGACTGCAATTACCTGGTTGCGGGGTTTAGGGTTTAGGGTTCAGGGTTTAGGGTTTAGGGTGCTCTATTTTGCTCTCTATGGAGGCGTCTACCCTTTGCAATTACAAGGTCATCCGTAAACCCTGAAACTCTAAACCCTGAAACCCTAAACCCTCAAGCATGAGCCTTGAAGCTTAAACCAAAAACAACTAAAACCCAAAGCCCCTGAAACCCCCAAAGCCACAAACCCGTAGAGCCTGATGCGCTGAAGTCCTGACCTCGAAACCCTGGAACCCTCCTTTTGTGTCCTACACCCTTACAGCTCTAAGCCCTAAACTCCAGATCCTAAATCCTATAGACCTTACAAACCCTAAACCCTATAACCCTCTAAATCCTAGACCCCAAACCCGATAAATCCTAAACCCTATAAACCTAAACGCTTTAAATCCTAGACCCCAAACCCTATAAAAACTTAACCCTATAACCCTAAACCCTCTATACCCTGGACCCCAAACCCACTAAATCCTAGACCCCAAACCCTAAAAGTCCTAGACCCCAAACTCTACGCCCTAAACCCTAGACCCCAAACCCTAAAATTTAGACGCTAAATCCTAAACCCTGTGTTCCGCAGGTACAGCCTGAAACGCGCGGTTCTGGAGCTCGTGGACTACGCAGCCAACATGGCAGCTAGGCAGGCCACTGGCATAGCTTTTGACAGTCTGTAGGTATGTATGTATGTATGTATGTATGTATGTATATATATATATATATTATCCTTGTTGGGCTGACGAGGACCTTGCGAAGGTCTTCTTCCTAAATCCTCAACCCTTAACTTTGCGCGGGAGGAAACCGACCTTTAAAAAATAAATCAAGCCGAAATCCTATACCCAATCTTTACCCTAAGCCCTAAGCCCACGTGGTCTTAGAGAGGATGTCGAGGGCCAATCTGCTAATTAATACAACTACCCATATTCATACTTATACTCATACTAATACTAAGACTAGTACGAATACCAGGACTAGTACCAATACCCAGGCCGAGCACCAGCTTCTGCCCGGTGCCCGGCTGGCCGTCCAGCGCAGCGGGTACCTGCTGCTGCGGAAGGTACGGGGTTAGGGCTAAGGCTTAGGCGTTTACGGGGCTTAGAGGTTTAAGGGTTTGGGGCTTTTGGGGTTTCCGGGTTTGGGACTTTCAGGGTTTAATTCTGGACACTGTCAGTAAAACCTTCCACTGCCTCGTACTATTGTACACCTTAGTTGCTCGTCCGTTTGTCTGTCTGTCTGTCTGTCTGTCTGTCTAGTCTATGTGTCTATTATTATACCATACAATATACCTATATCCGTCTATCGTAACCCTACTGCTGTTGTTTGCCTCTCTGGGAGGTCATCGCACGCTTCGGCGTCGCGGAAGACGGGCCGAAAGTCATGGCTCAGCTGAAACGCTACTTCGCGGCTGCTCGGGTGCCTCTGGGGAGCTAAGAGAGGGATCTCAAAAGTAGGGGCTATACGTGCGTATGCATGCATATCTGTCTATGTCTATAATGTATGTAATGATACACAGTGTGTGTATATATATATAGATGTAATAGAGTTTAATAGAGGGCTCATGTCCCCGAAGGTGAACCCGCTTTGGTCGCCGCCGGTGCTCCCAGTCTCCGATGCTGTGTTCATCGACATACTGTCAGGCAGGCATTGGGCTTCAGGGTCTATCAGGGCTTAGGGTTCAGGGCTTGGGATACTGCCAGGCAGGCTTGGACGGCAAATATTGGGATTTGCGGATTTAACTAGGGTTTAATTACGATTCAATTACAGTTCACGAGCAAGGTTGAGGGATACTGCCAGGCAGGCTGCATGCAGCCTTCCTCGAAAAGCTGCATTCCTTCACGCATGAGTCGGACTCGTCGGTTCTGCCTCAAGCTGTGCCAGAGTACACACTCTACGAAGCAGCACTACTTGGTGGAGGTTGGGGCTTCCGAAAATAGGGGACCCTAACATAGTACCCTAATTTTTAAGTAGTAGGATCCTTAGAATAAGGACCCCAAATAGGCTACCCCTCATTTTCGGAAACTCCCAGGTGAGGTCAACATGACCTTTGCACGCTATGAGCTGATGGGCGCTTTGCTCCGCGACACACGCAACACGTGGTCGCAGGTTGAGTCCTTGCCCCTGGGTCCCGTGTAAATTATCTTTTTGTTGATTTAAAGCTGAGGATCAGGACACCAAACTTGTGGCCTTGTGGCCCTAGCAAAGTCTTAGAGAAGCAGAAGTCTGAACTTTCCCGCCCAAGCAGGCTCAGCGACGCCCCGTTCCACCAAGATGCCGCAGGCTTCGTGTCCGACCAGCGGCCGAGACCAAAATGGGCCTCTAGGTTGCCCAGTAGGACCCTTTTTGTCCTGTTTTCTTTTTGGGGTCCCCTTATACAAAACCAAACAGTAGGAAAAAGAGCACCCAATTTTTTTTTTGGTTCCCTTCTTAAAACCAAACAGTAGGAAAAAGGGCACCCTTATTTCTAAGAGGCTACTGGGAAACCAAGGCCTCCCTCGTGGCCGAGTTCTCAGCGGTACGTGGCCTTCGAGTGGATGCCGGCACCGGCACAGCGACCCTACTGCTGTCAAGGCCCTCATTATCATTACAACTATTAGACTATTGCTGTTGCTCTTATTTGCCGCAAGTTTTTTGATCTTATTGCTGCTACTAGTACTATGTCTTCATTACTAGACTATGTTAGTTGTTATTGTTAGTAACATAGTAATTTTAAGGCCTTCGGCCGCTGCGCCGGCACTCTTCTCCTTGGCAGACATGGCTGCAGTTCTCGCATTGGAGGACACGGAGCCCATGGCTGTTACTGGATTCTGCAGTATCATACTTTAGTATAGGGGTCTATAAATAATTACCCACACTATTTTTTGGGGGTTCCTTGTTAAAGTGTTTTTTATAATATACCCTAAATCCCTATTCTAATTATTAAGGCCCCTGTTTAAAAAAAATCTTTTGAGCCACTATAGAAGCAAAGTTTGGGCTTCAAGGTTGGGTTTTCTTCGTCCCTGGTTACTTCAAAAGCCCAGGTTATGCTGGATCCTCCGGCTCAGCCTGGGTCGGGGATGGCGGAATATCCCCACCATCCCTTTCAGCGCGTCACCGCCGCTAAGCTGCCAAAACTCATGTGCCCTAAACTCCTGCACCAATAACGCAGGTAATGCAGGGGCCTGAATGATCACCAATCTTAGCCTGTCCTAGATCACATTGCAGTATTCAATAATAATCCCGCAAGTCCTATCCTACGTTGAGTTAGTGGACAAGATTACATCGGTGCAGTAGCCTCATTTGCTGGCTATCGGGCTTCGGCGGTTTACACGGCTCCTGCTGGGAAGCCAAACGCGGTTCAGCAAATGGGGTATTGCCAGGGATTAGAGTACCCATAATTGGGATCAGTCATGTTGACGACGCTTAAAAAAGCCACTGATTAGGAGCCCTTAGCGGTACCCTTCTAGGAATCCGGAAGCCTCAGAGGTACCCTTTGTGGAATCTCAAATCCCCAAGACTCCAAATGGGTAGTTCTCTAAATCAGGGCCCCTTTTTGGGTCCCCAATATAGTACGGCACCTTATATCAAATGACCCTATATAGAGAACTACCCAAATCGAGGTGAGCCCGGGTTCTGGCGCCAGCCGCTTAGCCGAAACCTCGCTCCTGCATGCGGCCATGGCGATACAGCAGCTGGCATCCGGAACCGAGGACCTATGGGTCTAGCGATATCATGGAGCCTGGGGTTATGGGCTTAAGGGCAAGGGTTTTTTAAGCTTTAATTTAGTGTGGGTCTAGTCAATTATAGAGCCTCGGTTTGTAGGCTTAAGGGCAAGGGTTTAAGGTTAAATTTAGGGTGGGTCTAGTCTATTATTGATCCTAGGGTTATAGGCTTAAGGGCAAGAGTTTAAAGTTTAGGGAAAAAGGATTTCGGTATGTAGCTTAAAGTGTTGGTGGGCTTAGTGTTTCGGGACAAGGGTTAACCCTAAACCCCTAAACCCTAAACCCCCAAACCCCTAAATAGGCTTCTGGGGTTAGGGCCGCTGGGCAAGGGTTTCAGGGTCTCAGAGCACCGTTAAGGGGTTTAGGGTTTAGGGATTCTTAAGCTCTGGGCTCTGGCTTCCGGGGATTAGGGTTTAGGTTTAGGGTTTTCTAGGGTTTTAGGTTTGAGGGTTTGGGGTTTAGGGTTACATTTATGAGACCCCGGAAAAAAAAACACAGGTTGCCTTCAGAGCGCCTTTTCCAACACGCGACTGCGCTCGTGGCCTTTGTAAGGCGCGGAGCCGGGTGAAGACTCTATGAGATTTAGATTGTTTCGGTTTAGAGTTTGGGGTTTTGCGGTGTATGGGAATTAGATTCGTTTTGGGGCTGAAGGCCTAAGGGGGATTGAGAGTTTTGGCCATTCAGCCTCAGGGGCCCCAAAGTAGGCATTGATGTACCCCAGACCCTCCCCATTTTTAGAGGGCAGTCCTGGAGACCTAGAAGCACTACCGTTTGCATCCTCGACGCGCTGAAGCCTGAAATCCTGAAAAATGTTGGTCCTTGGACCGGATAGTAGATCGTTTAAACCTTCCCGGCGTCCGCGAAAGTTCGGGGGGGGTGGGGGGGGGGCAGGGCAGATCTAGATCTGTGGGGCAGTAGAGGCTTGGACCTTGTATGTGCGCCTCTTTCTCCTATTCCCCTGCACCCCTCAACCCCTGTTCAGCCTGGTGCTACTAGGAACAAAAAAGGCCCAAGACCCTAGTCCCTATTGTACTCTTCCGCCCTGGTACCTACAAACTCTAAACACCCGTCGATTCCTACCCTCAACCCTAAACCCTGAACCCTAAACCCTAAACCCTGAAACCCTTAGACCTAAACCCTAAACTGTGGTTGCATGTCCTCATCGCCAGTAAATGTACACCCCAAACCCATAAGAGAAGGTTCTAAACTTCTAAACTTCCCAAACCCCAATCGCTCAACCCTAAGCCCTTTTGGGAGAGAAGATCAAAGCCCTCAACCCCTCATGAAGCCTCGTGACCGCCTAAAGCCACCATACAAAGGAAAACAGCCACAGAGAATGGAACCCTCAGATGATACCTTGACGGAACGCCTAAAGCGAGACCCTAGAAACAAGCCAGCCACTCCGCCTATAAACCCGAAGTCCATTATAGAACCCGTGTGATTCACTTATGATCCCCCAACGGAAGTCTACGCTTAAAACCGAGCCCTTTAATTGAAGTCCCAAAGATGTCCTTAAGGGAGCCTTTAAAGGCGAACCCTTGTAGGAGCCCTTTAAAGGAACCCCTAAAGCAGCCCGTCTGGGGTAACGCGAACCTCCCAGGCGCTGCCGAAGTCGCTTCGGTCCAAGCTGTCGCCGATTTCGCACTTGCGCACAGAGGCTAGCCGAGACTTCCTTGGAACTTGGGGCTGGGGGTGTTATTGGGGTTTCGGGGTTCAGGGTTTTGGGGGTTTTGGGGTTTAGGGTTTGAGGTTGTTTTGATGCCTGTTCTGGTGGGGGTGGTGAGATAAGGAAAATCATAAGGTTTGTTTTAGATGAGTTCACTAGCAGGGTTGTGTCGGGGCCTTCATAGTTAGAACAGGAGTCGTGTACAAACTAGCTGGGGATGAGCAGGGTTTGGGGCCTCGGGTGTGAAAGAACGAGAGCGACCGTCAATGGAGTTGAGGAATTTCTGGACTTAGGAAGGAAAGGGTTTGGGGTTAAACCCTAAACCTAAACCCAAGACCCTAAACCCTAAACCCTTTGGAGTTTAGGGCTTTGGAAGTTTTCGTTCACCGTGCACAGGTTGGCTCTCGGCCCCTTTCTGGGACCTATGTTGCAGGGCTCAGGTTTACAAACCCTTTGGGGATCATCAGCCTGGCCTCTTTGCTTTAGGGTTGAGGGTTGAGGTCTTTAGGGGTTTTAGGGTTTTGGGGTTTAGGGGTTCAGGGCTTTAGGGGTTTAGGGGTTTAGGGTTCAGGGCGTTTGGGGTTTGGGGAGGGTTTGGAGTTCTGAGTTCAGGGCTCCCAAACCCACCATCGAA